GCAGAAGCTCTGTGCCCAAAGCCCATATAAACAGAAAGACCTGAGTAAAGCAACCATGAAATGAGATGGTCTTTCTTCCAGTCCAAAGACTCTGGAGCAATTTAGGTGTGGTAACTGAGAAGCTCTGTGCCCAAAGCCCATATAAACAGAAAGACCTGAGTAAAGCAACCATGAAATGAGATGGTCTTTCTTCCAGTCCAAAGACTCTGGAGCAATTTAGGTGTGGTAACTGAAATAGAGAATACATTCACTAAGGACAAGTTGACAATGAAGAAGTACATGGGTGTGTGGAGTTTCCTGAAAGTGCATATAGTAAGAATGAGGATGAAGTTGGCAGTTAGGGCTGTAACATAGATGAATATGAATAACCAGAAGAGGGGTATCTGTATTTCAGTTGTTGTAGATAGCCCAACCAGGATAAACTCCAATATGGCACTCACGTTCTTTATTTCAATATTGTTGCTGCTGCTATCCTAAAAAAGACACGTTTTACTGTAATTATCAACACAGTTGTATAATTCAATAATGTATGTAGCTATTCCTCCATTTCTGCCTGCCTTCTTTCATTTCTTCCTTCCTTTTTAAAAACCAGGAAATTGAAATCTGATGATTTTATGTGCCTATGTTTAAATATGGAAAATCTACCCTTCTCAGGTCAGTTTACAATTGTGATGTAACTCGCTCTTTCTGACCATTAACAGAACCTTCATGGCTTTGGTAATAGCAGTGGAAATGAAGTTCACTGAATTCTTACTGAAAATTAAAATATGAATTTGTCTCTAATACTTATTTTAGGAATATGGAATAAATGTCTAATGATTAGGTAAGGTTTCTAATACCATTTGCCTGTTCTGTCGCTGAAAATCTAGCTATATGTTAAGGTACTAAGCAGAGCTGTAGAGTTTTATGGAATCATAGTATTTTTTTCATTCATGTTTTGACATTAAGTGATAATCCCACTTTGTTTATGTACTTTGCAGAAAAGAAAGAAGGAAGATGAAAAAATATGATATGACTTGGGATGAAGTGATTGCCTTCATCCCTATTTTTTCTTGTGTGATTTTGACAGATGCATCTTCTTATACTTTAGAGGTGTGCTTGCTGCTTGATTTTTCCTGTATTGGTATTTGGAAGATACAATTGGTTTCCATCGATATGAATGAGGGATTATATTAATGTGGACACTCAGTTATTTCGAAATACTTTGTGAAATAAAGTTATTATAACTCTAGAAGACAGACCATTGAAGAATACTGGGAGTTGAAGTCCACACATCTTAAAGTTGTCAAGTTTGAGAATCACTGATGTAGCAAATTGATCTTCACCATTGCTATAGCCCCTCCCCCAATAGCCTACCTTTTCAATATTGACAAATGTTCAGATTAAGAATTGAGAACCTAATACTCATTTTGCAGAGAAAAAAGGACTTTGATATTTCACTGTTTTCCAGAGGAGAGGTAAAGCCATGCTCTTAATTCTCCCAATGAAACAAAACAAAACAACAGTAACAACAAACCACCTTTGGCTGTAAACGTATCTGGGTGAACAACTTTTTGGATATACTGAGGACTGTATTGTTCAATCATTTAACAGTGGCTGGATCATATACTGCTATTTATGTTAGAGTCTAAAATTTTAGTTTTCAAAGCAGTAAGTTCTGTAGTTTAATATAGGGGGGAAAAGTGTGTATGTGTGTGTGTGGGGTGGCGGGGAGAGAGCAAGGAATTGCTTGTGGCACTGTAAAGTCTAAGAACTTAGCTATTTGTTTTGTGGAATAGACTCCATTTAATTTGAGCACATCTATTTCAGGTAGAAAGAAGTTCTGTGGGTTGTAGTTAAAATCTCTCCCCAAAACAATTTTATTTCATTTCTATTTTGCCTAGATCCAGTAACAAGAAATGGGAGAAACTTTGCTGGACATTTCAGCCCTAACAAAAATATTTTCTTTATTTCAAGATCCTAAAAAAAGATTAAAAAATAGTTTTGTTTTTTAATTTTGTTCTGTAATGAATTGTATTCTCTATTGGAGAAAGTTCCTTTGTCAGGAAAGCTCCTTTCAGTCAAACCCAGTGATATATAAAATGATAATAGGACTTTCCTTTCTTTTCTCTCTCTCTCCTCTAAAAGGTCAAATCCTCTACCCATGGACTTCCTATACCTAGTTCTGAATAGAGTAACATACAATTGCATGGTAGTGCTTGCTAGTTCAGTACAAGGATTCAAAAGGATGCTTCAGTTGGCTTTTACTGGTTTGAAGCTCTTGTGTGAAGTAAAGGAGCCCCTTACTTCCAAAAGAAAAGATGAGGGGTGTACTCTTTTTGTTTCACCTCATTTCAGAGGCCATCTCCGTACCTTCAAGTGGCAGTTCCAGGTGAAGTTCTGAAAGAGGAACATGCATTGAAGCATTTCCAATTTTGGAAATTATTGATTGAGTTCTCAAGGTGACACAAACTGCCATGAAAAGGCAAATCACTGGCAAACTCCCAGTACTCATTGCTATGGATGGGAAACAGATTCATCATGGTAAAAGTAGGCAACTATAATACACCGGACTTTGCTTAGTTATAAAGTTAAAGATTCTCAACAAATCACTCTGATTACAATGAGCATGATTTCAATAGGTTAACTCTAATTCCAAATCTAGATGCCAGTGAAGTAATTCTGTCCACAATCATTTAGTAGAAGTCTTAAGACTATTTGATGTTTCAAATAAATGAAGGAAGGAAGTATCTGGAATGAAGGAAAACGATTAAATGGAATACTTGCCTTCATTGCTATCACTGTTGAATGTTATGGTATTTTCCCCTTGGTGCGTTTAGAATTAATGTCAGTGCTGTCATCTGGCAAGGTTCAATTCCTAATAATTTCACCAAGAAAATGGCTGCTGACAACTGGTTTTGTCCTATTATAAACATGGTTTGTGGACCAATCCAGTGACTAGTGGAAATTTGCATTATGTAAGTCAGGATGCCAATGGGAACGTGACCTTGGAGGTTTCATCATAATTATTCCATTCAGGCTTTGCAGATACTCCTGACATAAAGTGTATTAATGATTCATTATTGTTGGCCCATTTTATTGTGGTCCCCCCCCCCCTTAAGTTAGATGAAATCGTATGGCAACTTAGTCATGTTTATAGTAGATTTATTGAAATAAAGAGAACTCATGTCCTATAGATGGTGATGATCTACTCTTCATATGACTAACTTTGAATCCAACTCTTTCTAATTTTGTGTGTATTGACTGTTGGTACTTTCTAATCTCCTGAAGAGAAAGAAATGCTAGAAGTAGTGTTACTCAGCTTAGTTTCTCTGGAATGAAGCAGCATTTCCAAATAATCAGCTATTTAGAAATGCTGTCTTCTTTACAGACATACACTCAGAGCAAATATACAGAAATGAGCTATTCCTAAGACATCCCAACAATTAGGTAAAGAACGTGAATTAATCCTCAAGCTAATTTATAACTTTTTAATTGCATTTTTCCCCCAAACAATACACAAAAAATAATTTTAGGGCATCGTTTTGCAGATTAATTTTCTGTTGTAGGAACCTACACATAAAGTTTTCCATGTAGCCATCTTCTGTAGATTATGATAAGAGGAACAGAGGAGAGCAAGACAGGAGATGCAGAATGACTTATGATATATCACAGCTAGCTAGCATGGCAACTAAGGTATCCTGAAGAAGTCAGCAATGTCATTAACATCTGCAACAAAGGTATCATTTGTAAAGACTTGCCATCTCTGTTCTGTCATAGCACTATATAAATGCATATATACTGCTTAATAATTCTAGACCCTAATTCTGTAACATCTGTTATGTGTGTGTGTGTATGTGTGTGTGTGTATTTTCATGAACTGGACACATTCATCTCAGAGCCATTTTGTCAAAAGTGTAGAATCAATGCAATTTGATCCTGTGATTATAGCAATCTTTATTATACTTATAAAGATAACCATATATTCAATAATTTAAAAGATCAAAGAGTATTCATGATTAAAACATATGAAATTATGTGAATCTTACTCAGCTGCTTTTACTGAAAAAATATAAGAGAATAGTTTTTTTCTGTAACTTTAGTCCTTCACCAGTTGTCACGTTGGTCCTGAGAGGAAGATCTCCATTCACATTTGAAGTTCCCATTGCCAACTTCAGTCTGAGGATGACTCTTTGGTAAGCTATTTAAATTTTGCATAAGCCCTTTGAAAGCAACACTCAGTAGAATTGTGTGAATTTATATGAGTGGTTTCACTGACAGAGCCATCTCATGAGGGATCCAGGAGTCAGTAACTATGTTTACCAAGCACATCTTGTATACAACCACTAGTTGACATGCTTGATTTAATTTACTCCAGCTAATGATTGCTGAAGTTCATTCAGTTTCTCATAAAGTTTTATTTTGAAGAACATTTCAAAATGCTTGCATGCAATATATCATGCATCCTCCTTGCATTATTCCTTTTCTGGGGGAAAAAAAATATGCAAAGTAGAGTAAAAGATAAATATTAAGCAAAAACTAAAAGTGAAAATAAAACTGAGTTAAAAGAAAAGGAAAGGAAACTATATCCAATCTTACCCAATACCATTCATTAATTCATTTATAACATCTTACAAACTACCTTTTGTCCTTGTAAACTACCTTTTCCTTCACATTGCTATACTTTGCTTCATCTATTGCCTTATGGTCTTTCATTCTGAAAACTCTCCCTTTCTAGGAATCTCAATTAAGCCCATACATTTCTCAACTGAATTATTTAGTTATGTTCTAAGAGCAAGATTATACCACAGTTATTATCTGAATTTCCCTCCCTTTGTTATATCATGATTTGATTAACCTCAGATTTTTGTCACATCATCTCAGGATGCTGCTGAGATACAACTAGGGTGCTGGGAATTACCCATCCTTAAGATAAATGAAGATTGTACAGAGAGCTTGGTAATATACTCTCTGTACATATGCATGTAAGACTTTTAAGAAATAAATATTAGATGAGAATTAAATAAAGATGTAAAGAAAAATGTCCACTTGATTTCTGATTATTTTATAGATCAGGTGTCTGGTGTCTTTTCTCTTCTTATGTATCTCCAGGAAGAGTAGTTAGATTTTGTATTAGCAAGATTATACTATAGTTATTGTTTGAATACACATGGTATTTGTTACATCATGGCTTGACTCCAGCAATATGTGAAATTTGTGACTATCCTGAAAATCTTGACTTGTTCAAAAACCCAAGATGCGTGTTATACTGCTGCAGGTAGGGTCCAAACTGATTCATAATACTGGGATCACCTTATGCCTATTTTGAAAGATTTGCCTTAATGGTTAACCACTAAGGCTTTAATATTAAACTTATTAAGGGGAGGTATATCTTGACAAGAACTTGTTCAGCTATGATTATCTACAGGAGAAGCTCTTCTGAAGGTAGTTGCACAAACAGCAGAACTCTAAGTAGGACAAAGCTCTAGGCATATATGGCTCTACATATGCACCTGAGTGAGGATCCTATTCTGAGTGAGACCATTTGTCACTGAGAACAGGATTATCCAGAGCACTTAAATGGAAAATGCTCCAATATGGGAGCAACTCAAAAGGGCTATGGATGGTGTATATGCTGATCCTACCACAGATTTCTCAACATAGGAGATGTGCATACATACATGCATACGTACATACATACATACATATCCTTGATTAATGTTTCTCAGAGCTCTCTGCAAATATCAGAATTTTTGAATTCCTATTCAGAGAAGGAAAAAAGTGATCATACAAAACAATAAAGAAAACATATACATGTTTATTATGTAGAATTGGGGGGGGATAAAAAAAAGTGCTCTATTTAAGAGAAAGTGTTGACTTTTCTTTGTTTGCTAGCTTTTTTCTTCTTCCCCACATTGTGTTTTAGAATACAGCTCAGTGTTGCAGTCAACTCAGCAGTCTAATTCTCCCTGTGAGTGCGCTCAGTCCTTCTATAAAATCTTTGTTTCTCAATGAATATATCACTGGATTAACAACTGGAGTTACCACTGAATAAAGAAGAGAAATTAGCTTGTCCTGGTCTAAAGAGTAGACTGAAGAGGGCCTGATATATGTGTAGATGACTGAGGAAAAAAAAATGCTGACTACAATGAAGTGTGAAGAACATGTGGAGAATGCTTTCTTCTTCCCTTCAGTGGAACGGATTTTGAAAATAGCTCTTAATATAAAATAATATGATGTGAATGTTAGCCCACAGCTACAAATCCCAAATACCACATCTGAAATGAATGTCATCGTTTCATTTGGACTTGTATCTGAACAAGAAAGTTGCAGTAAAGGGGGTATATCGCAGAAGAAGTGATTGATAACATTGGAGTTACAAAAAAACAGCTTTAACATAAGTCCAGCATGGATCCCAGAATTGATCATTCCAATAATCCATATAATACTTGCTATGCCAAAACACACTTCCTTCCTCATAATAATAGTGTACTGCAAAGGGTGACAGATAGCAGCATAGCGATCAAAAGCCATAAAGGAGAGAAGCAGAAGTTCTGTGCCCAAAGCCCATATAAACAGATAGACTTGTGCAATGCAACCATAAAATGAGATGGTCTTTTTTCCAGTCCAAAGATTGTGTAGCAACCTAGGTGTGGTAACTGAAATAGAGAATACATTCACTAAGGACAAATTGACAATGAGGAAATACATGGGGGAGTG